AATTCGTTCTTATTGCGAAATAGGAGCACTATTTATCAATCTGTAATAAAAGACGTGAGGAAATTCTGTCTTTTTTAGACAAAAATTTTTGAGGCAAAATACACAAAAAGAAGTTTGTAAGAAATTATGATGATACCTAACTAACTGCATACTAAATACTTATTACCGAAATATCGCAACGTGTTTCCTTAATTTGCATGTTCTTGGTTTATCAAAGTTGTTAAAGCCAAGTACCATTTATCGCAAAAATTACACGCACCTCATTAAAGAAAACTCTGCACACATGGAAAAAAATTATAAAAAAAGTTAGGGGTTTGGTGGGAAAAATGCAATAAGCATCTGAAAAAGGACTCCAATAGGTTGTACTTACTTCGTAATATTTATCTGGTCAATCACTTCTACAGTACCCAATTTTCTATATCCTGCATAGAGAAGATTATTACCGCGCAGTCCTGATCCTCGACCATCAATTGTTGCGTAAATAATACTTTTATTGGCTGCTAAGTAACTGCCCCAATCGATGCTATATTTATCTGTTACCTGGTATGTGTCTGGGCCGCCATACCTAAAAAATCATACAAAATCAACACCTGATTTCGAAAAAATGAGTGAAACTTACACATTTACTAGCATGGGGTATTTAGTGTTTCCGCTCGTGTCCAGATTAGGAGGCAATTTCAAAAGAACTCTACCGGTAAACCCATCAGCTATATCATACTCAAGTTTCACTTTCCCATGTAAGGTTTTCCCTTGCAACAAACCCACCAAATCCTCATTTCCAGACCACAGTAGCTTTTCCGTTCCATCTACAGAGTGAATTGCAATGTGTGGTACATCAGGACCACTGCAAGTGAACACCAAATGGCTGGCATCAGTGCTGAGTTCCCCAGTGTTGTACAAACAATTATTGCCACCATTTTTCGATTTCAAAGAACAACTAATACACGTTCGGTTCTTGTACACAGGGGAAACGGAGTAAATATGCTGAACGGAAGAGTCGTCTTCCACCGTAGCAGTGTAGTATCTGAAACAATGTTTTTGATATATTTATTTCAATATTAGCGGTTAAAAGCACAAGACAGCATTCGGTGTTTACATTGTCTATGCTTATTTAAGCATCATCACGCTTTATCAATTAGGGCAAAGCTAAAGCAACAATAAACTTCCTTAAGGTCACGCGTTCATTTGCGTCTCTACTGAAAGAATTAGCAGAAAATACTCAAACTCATTAATTCTGATTGGTAGGTGGACAATAAAACCACAAAGTGTTTGAATAAGTATGTGCCCCCGGTGGTTGAAAAATTATTCAAGCAATGTTTAACAATTTTTTTACAAACGAATGTCTGTTCGATTAATGTTTATTTTGATTTTTCTATGTCATTTTTAAAATCATAAGCAGTGAGACCTGGGATTTTTTTGAGTTGTAAAATTCTAATTCGACCACTTCTATGCGATATATACAAGGAGATTCAAAATTGGTGTTTTTATTTTAAATGAGTTACTGGGCGGAACAAAATAGTGTATTTCCCGAAGATATTAGCTGCACAATGATGATGATGCATTTTCAACTTTGCTTTTAAGCAATACTTAAAGTTATCAATGGTAATTCGGCAGATTATCAGTATACAGGGTTGCTCACGGTTGATGCCTCGTTAGACGCATATGAAAAAGGCGACTTGGGATTGTTCTGAAAAGTTGGCTACTCGAAGTCTAACAATTTAAAATATTTTCAGCAACGCAGCGTTTATACCAAAACGTAGCAACGACTTCGCTATTTTAAACGAGTCACCCTGTATATATTACTGTTTTTAGATTCGCAACTAGTTTCCAAATCTTGTTATTTTATACTTTGTTATATCCATCTCTAACGGTTTCCGAGTAATTAGTTATTTCCCAATTTTTTTACAAGCAAAACATAGCTTTACTACTTTTTTAATTAGAATACCCTACATATTATCGAATAGCCTGAAAGACAGCCAAAAGACAAAATCGGGAATACCTAAAAGCGTATTATAAAAACGTTAAAAATGTTTTAAATAAATGCTCAAAAGGACGACCGTTCAATTCAAAACTTTCCGACTTTTACAAAAATTTGCTTTGATCTTCAGAACTTGACAAAGTTCCGGATATAAAACCGTTTCAAGATTTCTACGTTCCTACTGTATATGTAAATATGTAGGGCAATTTGAAAGGAATTTTGATAGTCTTTCAGGCTATTTGATAGCACGTAGAGTGTACTATTTTAAAAAAGTTTTTACGATTACAAATATTGCAGTTATAAACATTAAATTAGAACTAAGTTTTGAATGAAAGAAATGGAAAATGACTATTCG